GGAGCGTGCTCGTTTGTGGCTCAGCGCAGAAGGGAGAAGGGACGCGATGCTGGAAAATCTCTCTTGCGCCTGGTCCCGCTCGGCTCGTAGAGCGGTGACCTCCATGAAACGCTCGCCAAGCTGGCCGAGCAATTCATCTCTTTGGACTGCCAGACCGTTTCTCTCCTTCTGAAGCGCTGCGTGCGCGAGCTCGAGATCCTGACGCGACTTCTGAGACTTCTCGACTTGGTTAATCCGCTTTTCCAGCCGGGCGATAGTATCTCGAGCCGTTGAGACACGATCCTCTGTGACACAAGACACGAATCAGTACGACGCCGACAAAGGTATGTGGATGGCACTCACGGGTGGCAAGACGCTCTGCCCTGGCTTGATCACACTGAGAGATCTCCGCGCGGACGCGTTGGGAAGCCTGCTGGAGATCCTGGTCCAGTGTTGATACCCGGTCCTGCAAACGACCGAGCTCGGCGGTATGTGTGGCGATCGTGTTGTCGGCAACCTTCAAGCGACGCTCATAGTTGTCACGCAAGGTGCGGAAGCGACGCGTCTTACGCTCGATCGCGGCCTCGAGGCCATCTACTTCCGCTTGAGCAGCCTTGTGGGACGTAGCTGACTCACGAAGCTCCGAAGCGAGGGAAGACTGGCGATCACGCGCGACTTGTAAGTCAGATTGGGACCGCGCGAGCTGGGACTTTAGATCCGCGATGCGACGAGCTGTATCGGGCGGGACAATCACGCCAAAGGAAGAGGCGGCAGCCAGCTGCGGCTCCAAGGTGGAGATCCGATCTTGGAACTCCGATACTGCTTCGTTGTAGCCGAGCTGCAAATCATGAAACTCAAGACGGCAAGCTTCGAGCTCGCGGGAGTTGTCGAGACGCTCCTGCAGTGCATTCAGGCACTCGGCGAGCTCCGTCCGAGTAGATTCCAGCTGGTGATGGACCACTTCGTACTTGCGCTGGCAAAAGATCACGTATGGCGACGCGGCATTGGCCGCGTCAGCGAGCTGACGATTCAGGGCCTCTGCGCGACATCGTGTAGCCAAAACCTCGCGGCGCAGAACCTCATGATCCGAACAGAGCTGGCACAGTGCTTTGGTCTGATCGATGGCCTGCTGCAGCGCACTCAACGAAGCCCGCACACCGGTAATATCTAGCGAAGAATCAGCCAGCTCGACGGTCGACACTGTGGCAGGGCTGCCACGCGCGGCAGAGCGTGCAAAAGAGCGTGGCGAAGACGTGAGGTCAACGAAAGCGCTGCCATCTGCAGTGGACGTGAGTTAGCAACGAAGAAGAGGCCAACAACGCATAAGTAGGGATACACTGGAAGACATGGCGACGTGGCTCCGGTGACACCGAAGGCGAGCGACGACGCAAGCGAGAGGCTGCGGTGAGAGGCGAAGATCAGTGAGTGAAGCCCGACAGTTGGCGCTGTGAACTCTCACTCAGGGGACGATTGTGGTGAAGTGACAGTTGGCTTCTGGGAACTAGGGGCTGATTGATCGGAAGTGACCCGATCCAATTCTGAGACTCGTGGTCGACGACAGCGCGTCAGTGATTACGTCTTCAGCTGTGAAGATTACGTAGTCATCGGAGATGATCAACATGGTGCAATCATTGGGACACGCGATCTACCTCTAAGGATCCGATCTACTGTCGACACATCAACTGATTTGTACCCACGGTAAGTACCACGCGACCAGGCTACAGAGGAAATAGAAAGGGCATCTTTAGGATGGGCAGAAGGTATTGGACCGCTAGGACTTAAAGGAATAACAGAGTGGAATTTGCCATATCAAGAACAAGTGTCTTCGGTTCAAGATTGGAACGCTGTAGCGGGAAGTATATTGGCCCATACAGTAATCAAGTAATTCTATCAAGGACACGTGTCAGTCGCCGGAGTTTGCAGCTTGACC